TTATTATTATTATTATTATTACAGCATTTATATGGCGCATATTCATCCTCTCCAGCATACTCAACTGCGACATGCAACTACTGTTGCCCCAGCAGACCCAAGAACACTCAAAAAAATATCTGTAACCGATGAAGTATACAGTGCATGCAGCCAACTGAGCTCTCAAACACAATAAACTGACAAGATCTTTCGCTGTATATAGCCAGGTACCCATTATCCATTCCCAAACAAAGGTCCTCACTGGCGCCATAACTGTCATTTCTATGTCTATAGCACCGTAAAACATCTACTATGCCACGCCAAAGTCCACGCGCTTTAGCTAAACAGAAAAGGATACTCAACGGTGTAACCTGACCTATAAATCACTCTTGGGGATAACCCAAGCGATGACGACACTCGTAGCGAGTTTGGCGGAATGTTAATATTAATAAGCCGGCACATCTCAAATGTGCTCCTGCCGAATAGTGCCAAAACATAGCCCACAGTAGGCAGTCTAAAAATAAACACGATAGACCCTACACTATTGTTTGCCAATAGTATGTGAACCCCGGAGCAATTCAGTGGAGTGCTCAAGTGAATTGTGATTGGTTCATTGTTTGTTTTGCCACTAGCCTATTCTAAGTGACTCTGTAACCGTGAACCTGAGTCATATGAGTTGTGCCTTTGAATGGTTTTGTACTGGAGTAGTGAAAGTTATTACATACTTGAGTGTTCGGTTCCAAGACAGGATGAACGAAGTTGATGGTTAGCTAACAAACAAATTTAGTACCAGAAATCAAAGCGACAAGTAAAAAGAATGAAAAAAAAAGCACGAGGCCCTCCCTCACCATACCAAAGATCCTAAAATTATACATCGTCTCATTTACTATTCCCTTGACTATCTTCGGCATGCGATAGCTTAATTATTATTGTGCACGCCCACTTTTTAGCCCCACGAGCCGCCCCTGCTCGAAATCTTTGACGTTAAATATCTCAAAAACCAGGTACTGAGCAGATAGCATTTTTGTAATTCTGAGGTAGCGAACTGCGACGGCGACACTCTTTCGTAGAGTTTACATTCTTCGACCTGCGCGCAGAAAACAGGAACTCGATTTCTGTGAGAGAAAGCTGTATTGCTTTTACGGTTTTTGTTTAGTTTATTTGCTGGTTATATATTTTATTCCTGTCAGTCCGCCTTTCTGGTGGGTTAGCATTGATATGCAGTGTCGCGGCAGCCCGCTTTCTAAGTTAGGAAAAGTTGTCAAATGGGACACGTGAGAGATTGGTGGCGAAAAAATATCATTATATTAATTAAATAACTGATTAAATAACTCTAGTCAACACACATTTTGCGGCAATACGTTTAAGACTAATTCTAAGCTAATTTAGGGTCGCTGACTCCAGAAATGGAATTAGTTTTTACGTATTGCGTCAAGATTGTTTAATATTAAAAAGGTGATATTGTTCACGTTAATATGACAAAATTCTGAGTTTTCAAACAGCATAACCTATCTTGATTTTAAACTTCACTGTAATGAATCAAAGTAACATAATATTGAAGCTTTAATTGTGTGGCTTTCATTTTTATAAATTAATTTCTTTTTTGTTTATTATAATTTGTTTTTTATTTCCTTAATTCGTTTCCTTCCTTCATTTTAATGGATTAGCATTGACTGGCAGGGTCGTGGTAGCCCGCTTTCTAAGTTGGGTAAAGTTTGTGAATGGGAGCATGAAAGATTAAGACTGAACAACGTAGTGTTGGGTTATACAAACCAGTGTAATCGTATGGCTTACTTCCTCCACGTTCCCAGATTTTATATTATATATATATATATATATATATATCAGAGATTACTAATAACAAAGCGTCCCCTCCCGGAAACACCATGGTTTTTCCC